GAGAGGGAAGGGGGGGGGGGGGGGGGGGGGGGGCGGGGAAGAAGATATAACAACTACAATTTTTTGAAGTTGTTACAAGCAAACGGAAAGGACATTCTTGGGTGGGAGGGGGGAGAGGGAGGAGGGAGGGAGGTTTCGGTGATGGGCCATAATAATCAACTACATTGTATATTGACAAAATAAAAATTAAAAAAAAAAAAAAGTAACCAAAGGACAACAAATTAGTTCTACTGCAGAGTTTAAGTGGTAGGCACAGTGAATAATCTAACACAGAACTGAAAGAAAAACCAAAATACACACAGATCAAAGACAAAGTTTGATATTAACTGGTAAAGATCTCACATCACCAAAGAACACCTATAAAACCTAGAAGGACCAGAAATCCCCTGGGCTTCTAAGCCAGGGAGGAGGGAGGGCTGTGGGCCTCAGCCATGCCCCCCCCCAATGACCACACCCCGCCCAGTGACGACCACCAGGCCACTGCTGGAAGCACCCTGGGCTTCCAAGCCTGGGCAGTAGGGGGCCAAGGGCTTCAGCCACACAGCCCCAACATCCACAACCAGCCCAGCAATTACTACCAAACCACCACAGGAATTGCCCTGGGCTCCTGAGCCAGGGTGGTGGGGGTCTAAGGGCCTCATCCATGCCACCCCCCAACATCTGCATCCAGCCCAGCAATGACCAAACCACTGCTGGAAGCCCCCTTATCTCCCCTGCTGGAATGAGGGGGGTGCCACGGGCCTGGACCAAGCCACCCCTCCTTCCCACTCCTCCCACCCTATTTCCTTCCTCCTTCCCCCTCCCTCTCAACCATTCCACATCATAGAATGTAAAAAATATATATTAATAATATTTTTTAAATGCCAAAAAAATTACATTTGTATATTAATTGGAATTATGCGCATAAGTTTCACAAAGGAGTACAGCCTCATTAATAAAGAGAACACCAATTCAGAATTTGTGATTCCAAGAAGGCTGGCTCAAAATTGACATCTGCTGTTAGTGAGCAAGGATTTGATGGACAAACTGACCAGTGTGGACCAGGCATTCAGAAAAACATATAAACTGATGGGAACAGCTACATCTAAACACCCATGATCTGCCTTTCTAATTAGAGGACATGCTGAATAATACATCAATATTGGTATTCATAGGCCCTCTGACAACCTCACCAGGAGCAACAGAATTCATTCATGCAACATACTGTCTGCCCGCCTATGTGAGTCAGGACTGTTCACAGTACTTGACTGTGTAACATTATGGGTTAATTCCTGTTACTTAGTGACTGTGTGATCTTAGGCAAGTTACCTAACCTCCCTGATCCTCATTCTTCCCATCTGTAAAATGGATGGCTTTTGGGGATCACTATGAGGATCAAATGAGATAACATGTGCAACGTTTCGAGGACATGGTAGGTACCTAAGAAATGGAAGGTGTTATCAGTATTAATGCCACTGCCATACAACCTATTTCAAAGTTGTTGCTCATTTCCAAAAAGAAAAAAAAAAAAAAACTCTAAATAATACTCCTTTTATTTCCAGTGCTTTCAAATCAGTGAAGTCTTTGTATATCTGAATTTACTTTATTAGGCCCCCCATGTCCAATGCAGGTCTGTGTAGACAAGACAAGCCGGAAGAGAGGCATGAGCAAACAGCTAGACACGGGCACACCCGACAAAGCCGTCTCTACACGGGCACTCCCACTGTGCCCTTGCAGGGTCAAAGGCCGATCCCAAGAGTGTGGTAAGACATAGGATGTTCCTGAGGGGCTGAACAGGGGTCTGAGAGCCAGGTCCTCTCCCTGCCCAGGTTTAGTGATCAGTCCCATGTTGCCATGGCAACCCTCTGTCAGAAGCACACCACCTCCAGTCTGAGAAGGCAGGAGCCTGTCCTCTTCAGTGCTGTGAAATGTCTAGAATGCTTTTTGAAACCAATTTTGTTATATATGTGTTCTGTATGGGAGTTGTGGGGGGGGGGAGGGAGAGGGAGAGTTCTGGCTGTTAATTTGCAGCTCAGCAGATTAAACAAAAAGCTACCACAAACACACACAACGCTGAACTAAGACAGACTATGCTAATGATAGCAGTAAAACATTTTGACAGCCTCACTCAGCCAAGTGTCAAACACTTGAGAAAAAGAAAATTTGGTTTAAAAAAGAAAATTGGCAACAAAGTACAATAAAAGCCTAAAAAGGGATGGATTAAAGGCAGCCCAGACTTCTCCAGGGCATGCAGAAGGACTTTCTAATAAAAAGGAAAAAGGAAGCCCAAAAGAGACTTACCAGATCTTAGAACAGGGCGGGCTAGATACACATCAGGTGGGCATTCAACACTTGGTGCAAACAACGAAGAACAGCAAAGCATGTGTAAGTGTGGGCGGGCATGTGTGTGCACACCTCACAGGCAAGCACGCAGCCTGAAGCCAGCATCAGCACGGCCACCACTGCTCAGCAGTGTCCACAAAACCGCCACCTGCTCCATCTATCCAGGAGTAGAAAGTTCCAGAAACAAAGGCAAACCTGGACAACCAGGTCATCTCTCCCTCACAAAACATCACTTAACCAGCATGAAAGTAGAAAAGGGCTCGTGCCCTTCTCACTAGATGAAAAAGTGCCGCTGTTCTTTAGCCCTTCCCCATGCAGCAGCACTGGAGGGCCTTTTAGCTAGACGTGTGCTCCAGAGTGGGAGGCGAATATTTTAGTCTTGGCAGGGAATGATGCCTCATACAGTTTTAATATAAAAGGCAGTTTTAATGTCTTTCTGGCAACAAAAAAGAATCATAATCCAGGACAGTAACTTTCAATTTAGCTAGCAAAAGGAAAAAGAGGCAGGGAAACGTAACTTGACTGGGACAGTTTTATTTTTCCTGACCTACTTCTCCTAAGCCAAA